TATGCCAAATATAATTAGTTAAAATAATAAAAAATTAATTATTTTGGTAAATAAAAACTAATTATTGTGTACCATAATGAATATTTTACGTGAGTTGATATATATATATATATATATCTATATATATATATATATATTAATTATATAATATTTAATATGATATGTGTTTTTTTTTATGGATTTAAACGTGAAACTTAAATATTTATCTTACATACACCCTAATATTAGACAAAGAACAAGTAGTTTTTTTTTTTTTTTAAAATGGATAAACTAAAGTCTAAAAACAAGGGTTTTATGTAGCTTTATTTTAAGTAAATTTTGCAAACTAGTAAAGAACCAATTTATCCACTAAAAATATCAATGAGATCAGAAATAATTTTTCCTATTAGTAAAAGAGAAGTTAGAAGAAACTAATTAAATATCACACAAGTACATTATACCACCAAATTTTTGAATGCTCAGGACCCCACATTCGTTACATACATATGAAAGAAAAGAAATCGATTAGTTTCCATTGATGCATTTTGTGGTCAAACCAACTATACCTAATTACATTCCGTTGGTTTTTTACCATTTGATGACTACACATGTGTGTGCATGCACGTAAAGCATAAGCACCTTAGAGAAGCCTCCAAAGATAAATTAAAAGATTGAATTTATGATGAAACGTGAGGAAGGTGTAAACGTGTGAAGAAGATTTGGACTCGTTAAAAGTCTAAGTCTTCCATCCCAAAACCCTAATTAACATTATATATCAAACAAAACCATTTCCTATCTCATCATTTTTTTTAATACCATGTTTCAATTACAACACCATCACTAATCATATTTCTATCTCAAAACCTTTCATCTTCTTCTTTCCCTCATCAGTCTAATAATAACCATGTTCATCACCCCCGGTAACAATCTCATCGAATCCTTCTTTCTCTCCTTTCTATTTCCATGCCATCCAAAACCTCTCTTTTTCTATGTTGTTTTGGCTCTTCCCGTTCCCGTGCCTTTCGAATCTTCTCCCACCAAACCCTCTAATGTTTCAACATCAAAAGAAAACGAGGAAGGAACAAACTACTAACCACAAGTTGTTTTTAATGGCCTAAGTATTCGATTCACAACCAAGAAATCATCTTACACAACGGTGGCCGTTTGAAGCTTTCAATTCACTCGCACCATGCTCTTATTCCCAGGCCAAGTCAAAGTCAACTCTTGCCTCATAACCTCAGCTCGGCAACCACTACCCTCCGCCGTCCACTCACCCACCCCCCACCCTATATCCCCCACACAGGTAATTTATTCTAATAATCTCTTATCCAAATTTTCATTTTGTTTTTCTAACATTCCTATCTTCCTTTTTTACATGTTTTTTTCAATTTATTAAATGTGTTACAAGATTTTTTTAAAAAAGTTGTAATAATAACATACCATCAAGAAAATCAATTGTAAAACTTGATAATAAAACGAGTTTTCCCTTTCTTCTTAATTTTTTTTAAAACATTCTAAACGTGGTTATACTCACCATTTAATGATTCGTAAAATGCATACAAATAAAAATTATACGGTGACAAAATACGTAAAAAGAATTTGAACAGTTGAACTTAAATAACATTAATATACTAATAAAATAACTGCTATTAGAGTAATTAAATTATGCAAGTCCAAATCCCTTAATAAAGAAATGCTAGTGACTGCACATTATCGATATTAAAAATTTAATTTCCCTCCATTAAAATAAAACTGGGAACTGGAGTAATAATTATTCTTTTTCAATTGTTTTCCAATTTCGATAAATTCTATGTTCTAACTCCTTATATTCTTACTATGGTCCAGAAACCCAAGACAACGTTTTGGAAAACAACGCGAGGACACTCGTCAACATGGGAGAGGTTTCTCGCCTGCTCAGGCGAAACGGCATGCGGGGCGGGCTGCCGCGGGGGCGGCGGTGCGAACTCAAAACGACACGTAATAAGGCACGAAACGACGGTGTTTTTGGCATGTCGGTGGTGGTGGTGACTTTGGTGATTATGATATTTTGGGGTCGTTTATGTGCCATTCTCTGCACTTCGGTGTGGCTCTACTGCGCTCCGCGCTGGGGGAAAATCGGTGGCGTAAACGACGACGGAAACTCCAAAACGACGCCGTCCAACGAGGTTGATCTCGATTCGGAGGAGTACAAGAAGAAAGTGATAATGGAGGGTCTTCTTGGGAGAAATCACAGAGCTGGGCTTTGAAGAAGAAGAAGATTTTCGCAACGCTGTCGTTTGGAACTCTGTCGCCTTCAATTTTCTCTATCATTAATTAGTACCAAAATGAAAAGAAAAAACACTTGTAAATTCACGAATTTCATGTAAAAAGATTTTCTTTTTAAATTCAAAATCTGGCTTCTGAAAGATCCTGACATGTGATTTTATTTATTTATTTATTTCTTTTTTTTTTTCTCTGATTAATAGTGTAATTTTTAATTTTGATTCGTATTTTTTTAAGATCGATATTTTCTCTATTAAACAAACTAATTCTATACTTTTTAAAAATTGTTCATATAAAAAACATTACATTTTTACATTACACGGTCTATTTTTATGAAAAGAAGTAATTATATTATAAAGAAAATACAAAGAAGGTAAATGTAATTTAAGAAAATCTAGTGAAAATATTTACTTCTGTATATTATGTATGTTTTTATGCCATTTTCTTATTGGAATTGAAATTTAATTTCCTTGATATGTTTTATTGTACAAGTTGTTTAAAGGTCAAGGTTTAAGTATAATTAAAGTAAATAACTAATATTATGGTGATAGATCTAATTGAATTCTTAATTAAAACGATTGTATCATTTAATGGAATAATTTTACATTTTTTTTAAATCTTAGAATAAAATGTTTGAAAAATAAAGTAGAATAAGATCAAATCGGCGATAAAAATGATAGAAGATCAAAATTATAATTAGTTTAATGTATTTTCTAAGACTGATTTTTTAGCTTTGAATTCGATAAATTTTGTTGTAAAAAATGGAATGTTCGTTGCCGGTTTCACGGCCGGCGTTTTGTGAATGACGTGTTCTTTGAAAATGTGATATAAAAATAAAGTCAAAGGTTTGGGAATGGTGTTTATTTTTATTTTTAATATAAATAACGGTTTGTACTATTCTTATATATGATCTTTCATTCCTCAATCTCTATATTAATAAAATACATTGAGAGTTTTAAATTTTTAAAAAAACTCAATTGAGAGTTTTTAAATTTATTAATCACTTTAGTTAAGTCTATATATGTTTTTACAAAAGAACAAATTTATAACTGTAATCAATAATTATATGAAAAACTGATAGAAACACACGTGTCTACCCATATTTTATAATAATAAAAAATAAAATTTAATTGTATTATTATTATTAAAATAAAAATACATTATTAAATTTATAAAAAAGTATAGAATTAAAGAAGGGACAATTTTGGCCTGTCCTTGATTTCCATGTTCCTCACTCTCTTCTCCACATTTTTTATGTTATTTTTTTTTCTCACGGAGTGTTAAACATGTGATTCTATTGTAATTTTTTTATTGTTGTTCACAAAATGTTTTCATACCATTTTCTCATTAATGTGATTTGAGGAATCATATGACCCATCCTTAAATTTTTCTCTTATATAAATTTTAAGACACCTATGGATAGATGTTAATTTTGACTATTAAGTCTACATTAGAATTTGTATTAATTAAGGTCTATATCAGAATTTTGATTATTATATGACCCATGATTTGATTTTTGATTTTGGATTAAATTCTATATCATGTTTTAATACCACTAATAATTATATGAAAATTTTATTCCTAACAACTACTTTTTCAAATAACTTTTAAGGTGTCATGATGTATTCATGTGAAACATTACAAATAATGTGCTATAGTTAATGTTTCAAATATCATATGAAGATCATTAATTTTCTAGTATTGTGTGTATTCTTTTAAAGTCCCACCATTTGGATTGTTTCTATTCAAGATAAAAAGTTTGTAATAAGAATAATTTAGAAGGCAACATGTCATGATAATATGCAAATTATGTCATTTATTCTCGCTTTTCTCATTCAATTTAGAAAATAGATTTTAAGCCTAACTCAAAATTACAAAATTGACCACTTATATGTGTAATCTACTTTATTCTAATCAATATAGATCCTAGCTTCTAACATTAATGAAAATGAAATACATTTTAAGTATATTTTTAACACAAATTAAATACATTTTAGCTACGTATTTTTTCAACAATAAGAAACAAATAACTTAGAGCAAGTATTGCCAATAATAACATCTTAGGAAAAGAAAAATATAATTAAAAAAACACCCTAAATGGAATGACGACAAAAAACTTTTAGAAGAAATGAGATGAGAAGCTTGCAAAGGTGGTGTGTTGGGAACAATGGCATGTCGGTGAAGTTCATTGTTAGTACGAAACCTCGAGTGTGGACGAGAAGATGGAGAAGGACGAGAGCGATAATGGTGCCGGAGAGATATTTCAAGAGAGTAGGCTTGGTGGCGTGGCGAAGAAGGTTGTGAGTATTGTGGCTGGTAGTAATGGCAACCAAGAGAAAATGAGATAATTAGATAATATGACAATGTCATGAACGAAAGGAGATGTGTTTAAAGGATGTTTTGCATTGTTTTAATAGGCATTTTTGTCCTTATATTTATAATAATAATTCAACGTTTTCTCCCTATCTTTAACTCAATGTTTTTTTTCAAAAGGACTAATATGATCCTTCTATCAACATTAATATCATTAATCCCTTTTTGTTCTTGGGATTGAACAATAAAAATGTAAAGCGTGGGTGATTTAAACTATGTTAACGTTGATTAATGGAAAAAATCACATTGAGTCATTTTAAAACATATGGCATCACATTGAGAAAAAAAAATAAAAAGAAAAACTTTGAATCATTACACTATAAAAAAAACCTGAACTTATAAATGGGAAAAAAATTCATTTGTAAGCACAAAATTTCTTCATCAGCCAAGATTCCAACATAGGACAAAAAAATCATGATAAAATGATAGTTGATAATTTTTTATGACGAATAGAAATGTCAGTAAATAATCGTGGATATTTGTTTTTTTTTCCTTCCTCATTCTTTTTCTTTTTTCATTTTTTTCTTTTTATTTTTTTCTTTTTTCTCCTCACCGACATTTTTTGTTGTTATCATCGTTGTCATTGTGGTACCCACTTTTGGTTCTCCCTCCTCCTCCTCCTTATCCTTTATCACTATCGTCCACTACTAGTAACAATCCTCATTGCCTCCTCTTCCTTCTCTTCTTCTCCTCTCATCTCTCATTGTTTTCCTCCCCATTTCTTCTCTTCTCTCTTCTCCCTCATTCTTTTTTCTTTTCTTCGCACTCTCTCCACTTAATATATAATACTTATTTCATTAGTTTATTGAGAAATAAAACTCATTTTTAACCAACAATTTATCAACAAAATTTTTAAAAAATACGATTATTAATGAAATTTTTTCAAAATTTAATTATTAATAGATTTTCAAAAAATTCAATTACCAACAAATTTTACTTTCACATTATCAAAACTAAAGCAAAAACTTTGAAATCATTTTACTAACAAAAGTATCTAATTAATAAATTTAACATGGCCTATGAATCATTTTTATTAATTTACCAGACCATGTCCACTTTGTATAATTCTTTAGGAAATCATCATAAAGAAATATGCTTTCGAATAATTTCAATTTTTGATAGTTTTCGCTCATTCAAACAATTTACACACGGAAAATAGAATATTTGATTATTGTCTGGAACATTCATCTTTGTAAATTCATAAATTGTTCTATTTCCCTCTCATATTCATTTGTTATGTGTATTAAATTTATCCAACTCTGATCCATTGTTATCGGTAAAAACCAACACCTTTGCTTTTAGGTGAAGCTAAGAAACAATTAAACATACAGTCAATTTGTGAACTCAACCCTACTACCAGACTACGACATAAACAATTAATCAATGGATTTAGTTCAATACGCTCACTTCAAAGTATTTAAGAGACTAATATCTCATTCCTAAACAATCATATTAATTAAGACTCATACTGATGTCCATTTTTCTTTTGCCTATAATTTATTTGGTGATTTTGATCACCACTAAAAATCCACCACCTCATTGTTTTGTCATTCTAACATAGAATGGTAACCACATTAATTGAATGCAATAACATAAACACATAAAACTCAAACAAATGGAGAATCTCACAATATCGAATTTTCCTTGCAAAAAATGTAATGTAGCAGTAAATACCAACAAACTCAACATCCTCAACAGTAAAACAGGTAAGTATTGATCGAAATTTATCTATCATGATAGCAAAACCCAAAAAACCATGATCAAAAAACACCACGAGCAATAGGACAGCCTAAGCGCAATGAAAGGAGTGCAACCCACCATACAACGGGAGCTTCAACACGTAAGAGTGTGACCCACCACACTGCGACAACCCTACAATCGTAAGCTACAACGACACACTACAGCACCGCCAATGACGGAGGAAGGATGGAGTGCACGACCCATCCCACAACAAAGCTTCAACGTGTAGAAGAAGCGTGACCCACCACATCACGACACCCTTGCAAGCATAAGCTCCAACGACGCACTTCAACACCACTAATGACGAAGAAAGGAAGGAATGGCGAGAACAACTACGAGCACTAGAACATGACTACAGAAACCAACAACCAGTGTAGAGAAAGCTCCGAGAAGCAGTGAAGCAACAAAGGAAACACAATGAAGCAACTAAACAAGCAATGAAGGAAACACAAACGATAGGAAGAAACTAACAAGAATAAGAAGCATAGAGAAAACTCAAAGATTTCACAAACGTGAAAGACAAAAGGAAGAAAGATATGAATATTAAACATTATACACCAGTTATAGTGACTAACCAGTATAGAAAATGTTCTCCAATATTACATTTTTTCCATTACGTCACTTTCTATATTGATTCTCGGTCTAACTGGTATAAAAAAGTAATTTTCTATATCGATTATGAGTGCAATTGATATAGAAAACTTTATAATTTATTACAATTTTACTACTATGTCACTTTTTATATTGATTCCGACATAGAAAAAAATATCTTATTTACTATACTGCCACCATATAACTTTCTATATCTGGTAGATTTCAATGTCGTTATATATAACCTATTTTGCACTAATAACAGGTTAAAATTGGATGAAAAAACTTCTAGTTAGATTTTTTTCATCTAACGGTAATCTATTATAGTATTTATGTTAAAAAAAATATTTTTTTAAGCCTATAGGCTATGCATAGTATTGTAGTCTATTTCCCACATTTTTGTTACTATGATTCATTAATCGT